TGGTTGGGGGGGGGGGGGGGGGGGGGGGGGGGGGACGATAAGGGAAGAAGGCTATGATGTCATTGTGTTTGTGGACAAAGCCCCTCTGATGTGATCAGGGGTAGCCACAACTGACCAGGTTTATCAGGGCCCAAAACTTCTAAAGTAATGGAATTTAATGTCCTCCACACCTAAAATGACTCATGGAAAAGAATCAAATAACATGAAAACAACATCAGATTACAGTGGGGGAAATAAGTATTTGACTCCTTGCTGATTTTGCAGGTTTGCCCACTTACAAAGAATGCTTGTTTTTCCTCATCAGATGGTTATCAATTTTTATAAATTCATATGATGTGATTTTCTGGAATTTTCTTTGGGATTCTGTCTTTCACTGTTAGAATGTACATATGATTAAAGTTATAGATCGTTGCATTCTTTGTAAGTGGGCAAACCTGCAAAATCAGCAAGGGGTCAAATACTTATTTCCCCCACATAGAATATAGATAAATATATACATAAATAACTATATGTCTATATATAGGTCTAAATAAGTGGTGGCGATAATGTAAATAATGAAGTTTCATCCCAGGAGACACAGGCCAGGAAAGACTTCCCTCCCTGTGTCTCCTGGTGCTGCTCTTGGTGGGAATTGTTGGATTTCTGTAAATAACTCAGAGTCTGAGCTGCTCTGGTTGGAAAGCTGGGAGATAACTAATGTTGTTGGGATTGTGGAGCTATAGAAATAAAATTGAATTCTATTGAATCCGGCGGGACGGTGGTGTGGTGGTTAGCAGCAAGAGGGTTCTGGGTTGGAATAGGTGGTGAAACTGTAACATCTAAGATGCAAAAAGGAGTCAAGTTGAGTAGGTTCTCGATTAAAAAATTGGCTCCGTTTACGTCACTCGATCCCGTCCAGATGTTTCATGGGTGGGTGTTTTCCCTCTGTAACATCCCAGGAATGTGAGCGCTTTTCTCCTCCATGTTTCTCCAGTGGAGACTGAAAAGCTTCCTCCCTTCCCCCAACTCAGTTTTCTTCTCTTTCTCCCCCTGCAGACCCTATTTCGAACTGAAAGCCAAATACTATCTACAGCTGGAGGTATGTATGTTTTACTAATCTGTTAGCATGCTTATTTATGGTGGAGGGGGGCGCTGGGATCTCCACTCACCAAAAACAAAAGTTGGGACACACTTTCTCAGTCAAAGAGTTTTCTTTATTTTCATGAATAAGCTGCTTTTTTGTTGCCATAATACAAATCCTAACGGTATCTATTAAGTAGGACTATAAACTGTGTATCCACCTGACTTCTGCACAACACAACTGATGGTCCCAATCCCGTTTATAAGGCAAGAAATCCCACTTATTAAACCTGACAGGGGACACCTGTGAAGTGGAAACCATTTTAGATGACTAGCTCTTGAAAAACATCAAGAAAATGCAGAGTGTGCAAAGCAGTAATCAGAGCAAAAGGTGGCTACTTTGAAGAAGCTAGAATATAAGACATATTTTCTGTTAAGTATATAATTCAACTTGTGTTACTTCATAGTTTTGATGCCTTCATTGTGAATCTACAATTTTCATAGTCCTGAAAATAAAGAAAACTCTTTGAATGAGAAGGTGTGTCCAAACTTTTGGTCTGTACTGTAAATGTCTGACATTCAGAAGCTCACATCCAGATGAGCAGTTTGTATATATATATATATATATATACTGTATATAAGCCATCCTGATTGTACATATGTCACTCAAATCTCTGTGTTACTCCCTTGTATTTTTATATACTTTTATTGTTTATACTTTATGCACCTTTTCCTCCTTGTTTGCACCTTCTTTAATCACTAAGCTATCTTATCTTATCTTATCTTATCTTATCTTATCTTATCTTATCTTAATGTGTCTACCTGTTTCAGTACCTTTAGCCTCATCAATCCTGTACAGTGACAAGCATGCATACTCATAACTTATTCACTTTAAGCACATTAGAGAGTACGAGTAAAACATCTCAGATGAACAACATCTCCTTCCACATAAGTTATTGCTTAAATCTTTGATTGACTGATTAGCTGCTTTATAGCCGTTTCACCTCAAAGATCTACGGTGGCTGAGAAGTGCAAAACACATTTAGAAAAAAAAAAAACGTTGAAAAATTAAAAAACAAAATAACATTGTAAGATACACATTCACAATTAAAGAAACACATCCATCCATTTTGTGAACTGCTTATTCCCAAATCGGTGACATGAACAAATGAAAAAACAATACGGCATTTTAAGAAACAAATTCATTTTTTTAGGAGACAAACATTTTTTTTAAAAATTGTTTCTTAAAATGTTATGTTTTTTTAATTCGTAAATGTGTTTTCTGAACTTTAAATGTGTATCCTCAAATTTTATTTAGCTTTTTTAAATCATAAGGTGTTTTTTAAATTGTAAATGTGTTTTGCACTTCTCAGCCACCGTAAAGATCTGTATCAGTGGCAGGCTTGTTTATCTAAATATCCGCCTTGTTTGCCTTTAGAAACTTCTTCCCAGTATTCCATGAAGTATATAATTCATTTCTCCAGTTTTATTCATGTTTATTGATTTGTATTTCCCCCCCCCTACAGCAACTAAAGCGCCAGGTGGATGAGCGACAGGCCAAACTTGTGGTGGCCAAAGCCGAGTACCGCGCAGCATTGCGCAACCTGGAGAGCATCTCCGAGGAGATCCACGCCCAGCGACGCTCCGTTGCCATGGGAACCAGGGAGCGGGGCGTCGGCGCCGAGGGGGACGAGGACAACGAGGACATCGCCAACTTCAAAATGGAGTCCGACGGCCTGTCGAGTGAGTATGGACGGGACCTGAGGGTCAATGGTCCTGTCCTTCATTAGTCCACTCTGTTTGTATTTTTGGCTTGTTTTGTTTGTGTTTATGTTTATGTTTATGTTTATGTTTGTGCATTTATCCAAAGCGACTTATAGAGTAGACCCAATATTCCATTTCTCATCACTATGACAATAAGCTATACCAGGGGTGCCCACACTTTTTCAGCATGGGAGCTACTTTTGAAATGAGCAATTCAAAATGACTTGAATGAATTATATTTATTGAGAAATATATTGAGGATTCTTACTACCCATTCCGTATGAA